TGATTTGGTGATGGGAAACCCGTGGGGATTACAATCGAGATGGAAAAAAAAATGTGCAAAATGATGTAAAAATAAACTTTGTAATAAAAAAAATGCTAAGATCTCACCTACTCCTACAAAATCAGCATGTCCAGGGACAAAGCTTGGGTATCTACATTTTTTAAAAATGTATTTATTTATGCATACAGAACTGGGGTACAAGCCAGAGGTGCAGGGGCCGTGAGAGGATTCACCAGAGACAGAGTGGGGAGCAGAACAGGCAGATCAACGAAGTACACTGCTGAGGGGAGCAGTGGGTGAGACAGGAGAGGTCTTCTGCGCTATGTGGATCACCTCCAGGGCTGGGGATGGAACTCACACTGAGTCGGCTGCAGCCCGCTCGCAGTGCTGCGTCCTAACCATTGTGCCACCAGGGAGGGCCCAGATATCTACATTTTATAAAAATTCCTTAAGTGAGTGTGAGGTACAACTATGTTTGAGAAAGATACCCCCACTGTGGCATAGGAGGGCCCTTCTTTTATGGAAATGTATCAACAGAGGTTTTCAAAATACAGGTGTCAGTCACTGACCCAGCCAACAAAGGGGAAACACAATGGTCAGGTCAGACAGTGCTAAGATTGTGCCCAAGTGCCCATGAGCAGAGTGTTTAAGAAGAGGATAACCCCAGGTTACAGTTCATGTTGGACAGAGATTCCACCACTGAAAGCTTTTTTTAAAACCCTCAAGCATTATATCTTTAGAGAGTTTGGAACAAAGAGAGAGCAAGTAGAGGCTTTTAATAGTAGAGAGAAGAAGAAGAAAGCTAGAATGATGGGGAGGTGGCCATTTATATAATGCAGTTTCTGAGGCCCTATTGACTTAACATTCCATCATGAAAACCTCATTCTTTAGTTCAAAACTTTTTGTCCTGTTAAAAATCAAATTTTCGGCCCTCCCTGGTGGCACAGCGGGTTAAAGCACTGCACTGAGAAGCTAAAGCCACCTCCGCATGAGTTCGATCCCCGCCTGCCCCGGAGGTGACCACATGGCGTGGCAGACTTCTCCTGACCCGCCCGCTGCTCCCCTCAGCAGTGTACTTCGTCGATCTGCCTGTTCTGCTCCCCGCTCTGTCTCTGGTGAAGCCTCTCACCGCCCCTGAGCCTCTGGCCTGTACCCCAGTTCTGTATGTACAAATAAATCTTTAAAAAAAAATCAAATTTTCATGAATCATGTCCAACTGGATCATCATATCCTTACCTGGAGCACATTTTGTTGAGGTACGGAGAAAAATCTGGTGGGGGGGGACTGCAAGAGTGAGGCGTGATGGAGGGAACCAAGTGGAGTACCTTGCGGACAGTGGCAGCTGGACAAAAACTTGCCAATCTGATTCACTATCAGCTAAGAGAGAATTTCTCAAAACTAAAAAGGGCTATTAAATGTTAGACAGTGCCCCCTGCACACACACACACACACACACACACACACATCCCCCTGCTGTGTAGCCTGAGATCTTCCTCTGACTGCGTGGCCTCCAGCCCCTGCCAGTGTTCAAACAGCTTCCGGTTCCCTGTATGTCAAACCAAGATAAATACCTAACTTCTTCCCACCTCGCTGGGGCACTGCTGTCACTTTCATTAGCACTTGTCCAAAACCCATAAGAAGAAAGCTTTTGGGAAGTTTTAAGAGGAATTATATTTTTTGCTAACATTTTCATTCTATGGAGCTTATGTAGCACTAGGTAAAAATGAGAATGCATTGGGAGGAAGGGAACACAGAGAACACAGCTTCACTCAGAAACCAGGGTTTGCAGTGGAAGAGATACCAAAAGGGGTTTTGGAGTTGGGGTGCAAAGGAGAGAAGTCTGCAATTGGTACCAGACACCATCAGAAGCTGACAATCTGACAAACACCTCCTCATAAAAAAAAAAAAAATCCTTAAAAAAGAAACAAATGGAAATATAAGCTAGTGAAAAAATCTGCAGCTGCTGCCCTAAAACTGTTTCTCACTTCATAAACAGGTCTGGTTGGGGGTGCCTTTTTATTTATTTTTTTTTTTGTCGTCTTTGTCTTACTTCATGCCACTTACCCCTTTTGTATGCTCCCATTTCACCTTTTGTCCTTGATACCAATTCTGCACCAGCTTCTCTACTGAAAAAATGCTATATTTTGTGGGCAACAGGTTGTATGGCTGATGGGACTTGGAGTTTGCATTTCAGCAGCACTACTGAGTTATTCTGATTTTACCCTATGTAAGATGGCTAGGTTTCAGATCCCTTATCTAGACAGGTTGAATGAAGACTCAGAAACAAATATTTCATTCCTATTTTATTAGTTTTATGTACAGTTACCAGTGTTGGATTTGGAGACTTCATACCCCTTCTCCTAACTCATATATACCCCCTTCCATTAGCTTCCATGGAGTGAGTTTGAAGGGATATCATACCTTCACTGGGGATAATCAAAACTTGAAGAGTCCTTTCTTCCTCCCTTCCTCCCTCCCTCCCTTTCTCCCTCCCTCCCTTCCCTCTTTCCTTCGTTCCTCCCTCCCTCCCTCCCTCCTTCCCTCCTTCCTCCCTCCCTCCCTCCCTCCCTCCCTCCCTCCCTCCCTACTTCCCTCCTTCTCTCCGTCCCTCCCTCTCTTCTTTCCTTTATCCCTTCCTCCCTTCCTCTCTCACATCATTCTTCATTTTTCTGCATTTTCTCATCTTGTTTGTAATCCCCATGGACTTCCCACCACCAATAGTGTAAAGTCCAGTTTTGATCCTATTTCCCTCCCTCTCCACCCCAGAAAGAAAAATGTTTACAGTTGTTCATTGTTTTTCATTTTTACTTTATTACAATTGTTCCCCCACCCCCACCCCAATCCCTTATGCTCCTGCTATGAGTGAAACCATCTGATATTTTTCTTTTTCTTTCTGGCTTATTTCACTGAGCATGATCCCTTCCAATTCTATCCATGTTGCTGCAAAAGACATGAGTTTATTTTTTGATTGCTGAGTAATATTCCATTGTGTATTTGTTCACATCTTCTTAATCCAGTCATCTATTTTTGGGCATTTGGGTTGATTCCACATCTTCCCTATTGTAAATAGAGCAGGAGTAAACATGGGGGTGCTGCTGCTGTTTGTTCCCAGTTAGTCTAAGGTGTTTCTGTTTCTGTCGCCCCCAGCTGTGCCCATCAGTCCCATGGGGAGCAAGACAGCTGTGCCCCACTGCTGCTTGACCATGCAGATGTGGTGAACTGTACCTCAGATGGCCCAGGTCACATGAAGTGTGCTATCACGTGTCAAAAAGGGTTCGCCCTTCAGGCCAGCAATGGGTGGTTCCTCAGACCCATTCAGGTGAGTTGAAGATCCAGAGTCATCAAAACCAAACTGCTGGGAAAGGTGGGTACTCATCCTTCTTTCCAAGGATGGACTGGGGAAAGATCATATGTTTTTAAATAATTGAAATGAATGTAAGGTATGCAAGCTTATGTATAATCTGGATTAACTAGGGTGTCATTGGTTCTCCAGGTGAAATAAGCAGATGGTTATTGCATTCCTCTCCCTTGTTTTTACTTTCTTTCAGAAATAATCATCTCTATTTTGTCTTCAAGTGAGAATATCACCTTTTAGGCTTGTCCACAAGTTGCAGCAAGATAGATTGCAGTCAGCTTATCTTTGGTTCATTGTCCAACTACCTAATTCTCCTTATAGGAGTCTAGCAAGAAAACATCTGATTTTCTTCCCAAAAGCATGAAAGATGTTACTAAGGCAGAGAATATATTATGATTCTAGTTTTGGCAGACTTTATTTTTTTTTCATTCTACAGGCTAACACAGCATGATTTCAAGATTTTAAGGTGATTTGGAGATAGTAGAATATATGAGCTTAAAGTGTTGCTCAGGAGATACACCCAGAATGAAAATTTGGCTCCACTATTTAGGCGTGTAATTTTAGGTAAAAGGCAAACAGTGAATCTTTTATGGAAAAGGGACTCTAGTTTAAGAAAAAGAGACTAACTTTGTTTCCACATTTATAAACTAAGTAGATCAAAAGTATATCACTGATTATTATGATGACTGATTGAAAAACTTTTAATAGCCTCTAACAAAATGACAGGCAGCCTACAAAATCGATTAAGCTGCCATTATGATGAACATGATAGTGTATTATGAACAAAATCCTCATCTAAGAATTTTGTTTTCTGTATTTCCTTTAGAGTGCTTCAGTGCTCTATAGAGGAATTTTGAACTTGAAATCAACCATGAGCAAATATGATTATAATATGAGAAACAGAAAGGACACACGAGGCAAAGTAATGGTGCTTAAGAGGAGAACCAGAAATTTGTGGTGTGATGAGAAAAGAGCAAAAGTCAGATATCAACAGTTCAGAAGATTGGATTTTTTTTCATTTTGTAACAAGTGACTGCTTGGTAGATTTGTGAATCCATAGAATAGTTTCCCTTGCTTATGGGAAGCCATTAAAGAAATAGTCCTTGGTTTCATATGGTTTAGGATCTATAGAGGGAGAAACAACTTTTATATTCTTTAAGGCACCACTTTCTTGGTTTACGACAGGAAGAAAGAGGTTTCTAGATAGAGAGGCAGAAGTCTTAACCCTCTCTTTCCTTTTCCTTTTTTTTTAATGTTTAGATTTATTTATTTATGCATACAGAACTGAGGTACACGCCAGAGGTACAGGGGAGTGATGAGAGGATTCACCAGAGACAGAGTGGGAAGCAGAACAATCAGATCCACAAAGTTCATTGCTGAGGGGAGCAGCAGATGGGTCAGGAGATGTCTGCTGTTCCATGTGGTCACCTCCAGGTTGGGGATTGAACTTGCACTGAAGTGGTACGGCTCACTTGAAGTGCTGTGTCCTAACCCATTGCACCACCGGGGAGGACCCACTGTCCCCTTTTCTCAACCCATCTTAAACCATACTAGAAAAGAAACAGACTGAGAAAGAAGTTTTAAAAATATAGGGACTGAATAAACTTGTGGGATAAAGTGGAGGAGAAAAGATGAAAATGAGGAGTCAAGACAAAATGGACAATACTTAATGAAGCCAGGAGAAAACCAGGAGACATGCAGAGTTTTGAGAGACTCTCTTTAAATGGTTGTTGTGGTTGTTTGTGGGCAGACTTTGTAGGTAACACTTTGTAAGTGTGTTTGGGAGCAGACTCTGGGTTGAAAGAGGAAGGTGGCAGCCTCCATCAACCATGTGGTGACGTGGGCAATGGGATCTCCATCTGACCGCTGCTGTCACCTGAGTCTGAACCACTAAGGAAATCATACGATCCCAGCTCGTGATCACAAGACAGTGGGGATATTTACTTTGTGTTGACACAGAGCTGAACCTAAACAGAAAAATGTGACTGGCTTTGAATTGGGTCCTTCTAGCAGACAACAGGGGAACACTGGGAAGCAGACAGAAGCAGCCAGCTAGGCACTGGTGGAAGGACAGGTGCTCTCACTAATCATTTGACCTTTGGCGTCTGTAGCCCTGTGCTCTCCCAGCAGAATTCTGGCTCAGCCATAGAATATCTTCTCTTGCTCACACTCTCTTTAACCTTTGGTAGCCAGCAGGCCTGAGTGACAGCTGCTTTTTCTCCCAAAACAGGTCTCCTGGTCCCTGCTCTTTCTGTTCCCTTTTCCCTGAACGCCTTCTTCTCGACCCTTCCACTCCTCCTCTTAGCTCCCAGCTGGGAAGTCCCATGACCTTTCAGAGCTCAATTCCCGAATTCTCTGAGGCAACTCCAAGCACCACCCTTTCCACCAGGGAAGCACCTTCCTCGAGCAGGATTGTCCCTCCCCACCAAGGACACACATGTCTACAATGCTGCTGACATTGAACACACAGATTCTCATTCTTCCTAGTCCAGTTTCCACTTCTTTTATAATGTGTGCTTTTTGTATTGCATTCTGCAAAATCATTATAGAAGGGGGGGAGTCATATATAATACGAAGTAGATCTTTGCGTTTTCCTTCTTCCTCCCCTTCCTCTCTCTCATTCTTCTTTTTTCCATTCTTCTTTCTTCAGAAACTTTTCCAAGTCACTGTTTCAATATTTAATTTGATCCACTGGTGGAATTTATTTTGTTTTAGCTCCTTGAGAAGAGAGCATCTTGTTTATTTGAATCTAGTACAGAACTAGATACTCAAGATTGCCTCTAATTTCTGATGGCATACTCTATGGCCACCCTACTGCAATGACAGGCTTAAGCATGTGACTGGAATCTCTCCACTGTGATCCCAAGGTCTGAAAACTGCCTCGGATGCATTAACGCTTTGTTGTTCAGAGATACTATGAGCTAGTCTCAGGGGAGGCCATGATTTTCAATAGCATAAGAGCTGACTCATCATTAAGAGTCTGAGCAGGACAAGATGACATGCTCACAGGTAGATAATTTGAGGGGATTTAATAAAGGGATTAAAAGATGTGAACAGGAGATTGGGAGAGTGCAAGGAGGTCATGCAGTATCTCAGAGAGAACAAGAACCCCTCGCTCGCCTGAGCAATCTATGCAGGGAGCAGAACCCACAAGAGGAGAGTACAGAGGAGGGTTGCCAAAGGAGAAGCCAGCAGGCAGCCATCCCCTGCAGAGGGGAAAGCAAGAATAAGCCTCTTATTTGCCTCCCTTCCTCTCCAGGCTCCTGCCAGTGTGTCCTGGTGCTGAACGCGAGCACAAGGCAGAGACATGGAATCCTAAGGGTTCGGGTCCACAGGAGCCACAGGCACAGCGCAGGCTGGGAGGAGAAGGGGCAGATCTGGAGGAGTTAGCAAGGGCAGTCATGAGTTGGCCTGGAGGAGCATCCCCAATTGGTGGTTCTCTCACACTAGCAGGTGCCTGTCACGGATCAGCACAGTACCCCGGCTTTGTGAGGCTCTCACTTAAAACAAGGCATAACTGAAGGAGAAAGGCAAGATAAATTTTACCCTTTTGGAATGTTTGCACAAATCATCACTGGGACTTGTCCAAAGTCTGGAAACTGTTTTGACAAACCTCTATGACTTTGACAGAGGAAATGTCTCTGTTTCTAGAAGGAAATTCTGCTCACCTGTTCCTCTGGGCACTGGGACCGGGCTGTGAGCTGCATGCCCCTGGACTGTGGCGTCCCCGACCCCTCCTTGGTGAACTACGCAACCTTTTCCTGCTCACAAGGAACAGACTTCCTGAAACGCTGCTTCATCTCTTGTGTCCCACCAGCCAAACTTCAAGGTATTGTGTGACCCACCAGGAACTGCATAAACTCTTCAGTCCCTCCTTTTGGCAGTATTTTAGGGTCTTCCCCTCACCCCAGTTCTCTACTATACCACCCTGTCCTGATAACACTAGCAAAGTCCTGGAGTCACCATTCTTTACCCCAGCCCCTTGGAAGGAGCTCCTTAATGAAAGAACCGCCAACTTCCCTGTTTAAGTATACATCCTTCAGAGTCAAGCCAACGATCAGTTTCCTGGCAGTATCAATAGTCAAAGTAGTTTATCCCACACATTTTAAAATTTAATATTTACAACCACCCTCTGTGTTAAATGCATTAAGCTTGTTTTATAGACGAGAACGCAGTGATATGATTTGTCCCTGGCTGCACTGCTTGTAAGAGGTGAAGAGTGTGTGGAAGCTGTTCTCACTGACCCTCCCTTCCACTTGGCTATTAACCACTTGGATTTTGAGTTTCCTGACATTGACCCTGAGGCTTGTTCTAAATGCATATTCTTGAATCTCACACTGACAGATTCTGCTTTAGTCTGTCTGGGCAGGGCTGGGGATGCTAACAGCAGAAGTTTATGTACTTGGGGAAACTATGAACCATACTGGACTATATGGTGTGGATTTAAGTGCAGAATCTGTATCAAATCACCTACTCAAACTCTGCCTCTGCATCGTCTAGCTCAGGAAAGCCACTGAGATCCAACCTACCCATCTGCAAAATAGGAGACAGTGATGGTTTTCTAGGGTTGTTAAGGGTTGAAGCTTGCTAATACAAGTGCATACAGGAAAAACGCCTAGAACAGTGGCTCAAAAAAGGTGTCATCTCCTGTTATTACATTGCTTTCCATGATACTGCCACTGCTATATTTTTATTATTTCTAGTTCAGAAGTAAAGAAATGATTTAGTTGATAACTCCCGTTTCATTCAGGTCAAGAAGTAGTTATCTAAGGTCTGTTCTGTTAAGAGATCACACTGATTGCTCTGTGAGTGAAACAGGATAACCAGGTGACCCAATATTTTGGAGAAGTTGCTCAACAAAGAATATTGTGAATGGCTGACTGTGTGACTTGGGTTTTCATTCTTTTCTGCAAGTATTCTGTTTCTGGGCTCTCGGTCTTGAGCATCCTGTGCTTCTCTTTCCTGGAGTCAGGATTGAGCCCATGGCTGACTTGTCTTGAAGACGGGCTCTGGTCTCTCCCTGAAGTCTTCTGCAAGTTGGAATGTGGGATTCCCCCAGTGATCCCGAACGCCAACCTGCTCCTGCCTCACTGCCTCCAAGGCAACCACGACGTGGGTTCCATCTGCCGATATGAATGCAAACCTGGCTACTACGTGGCGGAAAGCATGGACAATAAAGTCAGGAAGTAAGTTGGATCACCTCTTGTTTGTCCAATTCGCCCATTCTCCTACTTGCCTCCTAGCTCCTCAGGTGTAAATCTAGACACTATTTTGGAAGTAAATATTAAGACTGTCTAGAGTACCCTTGACTTGTGTCTGTTTTTCTGTAGGCGCCCTCTTCACCTGCTCAGGTGTGTTCTCCAGACGAGACAGGAAGGTTAGCCAGGTGTGCTTTCTGTAGAGACATCCTTTCCCATGGAAGGTCCACATTCTAACTGACACGCTTTTACAGAATCTCATTTTTCTTGAATAGCATTTTTCTTGAAAGTGCTAGGAACTCCCCACATCTTGTGTTGTTACCAGAATGCACCATGGGCTAGAACATTCTCATCAGGATGGTTGGAAGCTTCTGATTATTCCTCTGCGAGAAAGTTCCTAGACTGGTCCCGAATTTAGTTCCTTATTAGCTGTGTGACGCTGGATAGATCTCTTCTTCTGCCCCAGTGTTTCCCATCTCTATAATGAGAATGATAATAATAATTATATCTATTTGATAGGGCAGATCCAGAACTAAATAAATATGTATAAAACACAATTTTAGTATTTTATTTTTCAATCATAAAACTCAATACATATTAGCTATGTTATAGCTATAATGTAGTTATTGTAGTCTCTGCTTTCTCCTTCCTTTTTGTGGAAGGAGACAGGATGAGAAGACAGACTGGGAAGACAGGATGCCTTTTTTCTGAAGATTTGGCAGAACAGAAGGACTTGGAAGAGAACTCTGCCAGGGTTCAAATCCCAGTTCACCCTGCCTTTATTATCATCTGAGTTAGCCCAAGCACGTTACTTCATTCTTTGGGTCTTGATCTCTTTCTTTGTTGGCTGAAGCTCCTGCCCATATCAGGGTGTTGAATTGAGAGTGAAAGGTGATAATGCTTACCCAGTCTCATACTTTTGCTCAATAAGTGGGGTCAGGAAAGGAAACTTTTCCTGAGCAAATTAGACAAACAGAAAGCTTTCAGAGAAGAAACTCCTTGTACTCAATAGGTAGAAGCTATTTTTTCTTGACCATAAATTATGTCAGTACAGAAGAAAATTAAATTCATTTCTTAGCCAAAACTTGGTTAAAATCTGCCCAGAGTAGGTATTTCAAAGTTATTATTATTTTTAAGCCAGCAACATCCAAGCCTCAGTATTACCTTTAATGCTAGGATATATGGGAAAGTAGAATTTTCTCAGGCGCAAACGAAAATCTGAAAACTTTCTCTCTGACTGGCATTTACCCTTCCCTTAATTAGTACCCAGTGTTCTTAGCTAGGACTTACTAAGTGTGACTTAGCCGGGGACCTGCCATTCCAGAGAAAGCCCAGGTTCAGAGGTGGGTGGGGGGGAGAGGTAAGCCCCACTCCATGCCCTCAGCCTGAGGCAAGAACCACATTGATTATAACATGAATAATACTGATGAAAATTCATAGGAGGCAGCACAGGTTCAGTGGACTCTGGCAGGCATAGTCAACAGTTTTGACAACTGCAAACACATTTGCATGTCACTTTCATAGGACCTAGCTCATTTGTGTAGGCAATGAGAACCCAGATTATCGTTAAATGAGAATTGTATAGTAGCCAGTCTGAAGCTGCTACTTCTCCCCTGTCTTCATGCCTTCCTTTTTGTATTCCTGAGTCAACTCAGGCATCTGCCCAAAAGAGCATGGATGAATTATTGAGAGAGAAAGAAAGGAGTGAGAAAGAAAGAGAGAGAGGAAGAGGAGCCTCAAGGTGAGGAGGAATTAAGAGGGGAGGAATCATCTCTGGCTCTCAGGCCAGTGACTGAGCTTTTATTGGAACAGTGTGTCTTCCTCCATTCCTCAGAACTTTCTGCCTTACTCTGTATTTCTGATATTGCCAGACTCCCCACCTCTGGCCAGGGACGATCAAGGGCCATTTGTTGGCACAGCTATTGTGGTTAAGAAACTTGCATCATAATGTAATTGGCATCTGTTGGTTTTTGGCTCAAATATCAACATTTGCAAGCACCATGCTGAGGAGAGATTAAATTACTTACCATACTGTGTAAAAGGATTTAAATCTTGGTTTACACCTGCTTACATAGTAGGCAGTGGATGGTTGCCTGTAGGTGTAATTCACTGTCATTTTCGGCTAGTGCTTTCCAGATGAACAGCATCAGCCTTGTTCCTCAACTGGGGGAAAGAGCCTAGAGTTGTACAAACAGGGCCCTAAAGTACTTTTCTAGGGCACGCAGCAGAAAGAGAAGAAATTGAGAAAAGCAGAAAGGGAAATGAATCCACGCATAGTAAGACTCAGGGCACATTCTATGCAGCTATACAGTGTAGTGGGAAAAAACCCATGATGATCAGAATCCTGATTTGTTGCTGGCACGATCCTAACCATAAAGACCCAGCCAGTAAATACATCTCAGTTCCTGCTTCCACAGTGTGAAGGGTCATCATTATTTCTGTCCAGGCTAAAAGTAGGTGATGTTCTGAAAGCACTTTCTAAACTGTGAAGTTTAATACCATATGCAAGATATTACTGTTTGTTCAATTTTTTTTAAAAAAGAAAGAAACAATTACCAAACTTAGCAGCCAAGTACATTCCCTTCCTGCTTCTTCTCAAGTCCAAGGGGAAAGGAAGATAAGTACGGGATCTGATCTTGCTCTTTTGTCGAAATGAATTTGCACTGGCATGTAGCTCACACATATGCCCACCCCAACCCCTGAGTTAGTAACGAAGAGAAACACACAAATAAGGAGACACGGCCCCCATGCCTATGCCTATCAGAGACCAGCTCCAACTTTTGATGTGTCTGGAGGCAGCACAGGCAGGACCCTAAGATGGGAAGGCGACGGGGAGCGGAGATTCCAAAAGGGGAAGAGGGAGCGAGGAAGACACAGGAGTCAGGGTAGGGTGCAAGTCTTCCTGCTCTCCCTTCAGCAGGTCTTTATTTATACTGTGTAGCAAGTAGTTAATTGTAATAATGCATAGGGTAAGTTAATGAGATATCTCCATAAAACATTCTCAAGGACAAGGGGAAAAAGCATTCTTCTCTTAACAATTTATGGTATAATAGTTTATACGTTTTGTGATACAGCTGTCTAGTTATCACTCAAAGGAAGAAGGGTCTGGGAAAGGGTCAGCTTGTTAGCAAAAGGTTAGGGGTCTTGGGATAGTAATAAATTGTGTTAGCAATATTATCAGTGATTGTCTAAAGAAAAGCTAATGGCTAATTTAAGGCTAGCAGAGAGTAGTTAGTGCTTGTTTTAAAAAGGAGTAAATTAAGAGAAAGTTGTACAGTTGTGTATCAAACAACACCTGTGTAGTCAAGGTTAAAATTTGTCCATGAGTCCTTATGCCCTGGGATCCTAATCTAAGGTTTGCTTTTTTATTTAAAGAAATCAAGGAAGCTTCCCAGGAGTTTTTATGTCCTGGGGTCTTATTTCTCCTGGGGCTTGCCTTTTGTCTCAGGAGACAGAGGAATTTCTCCTCCTGGGGCAGGCAGCTTGCCTGAACCAGGCAGCTGCCTTGTCGGGCTAAGACAATCCAGTTGTAAACTGATGGTTGCTCAGAATATTTTGATTTTATGATTATACAAAAAAGGGAGGTCATAACATAACTTAGCAGTGGACAGTCTGATTTTTCAGAGCTTATCCCGATCCACCCGGAATCTGTCAGACGATGGACGTTGCATAGCTTGTGTCACATGCCCATTCTCATGAGTGTTATTTTCCTTGAAGCATCCCCCAAGAGAGCAATCGTATGTAGGTAGGCTCTTTCCTCCCCCAGAAAGCCTCCTTAGGTGAATAATAAATCTTTGTGTATTCTCTTGGTCTGTATGAAACTAATGCTACATTGTATCACCACAAGGTAAATCTAAGGTGCAGAAGGGCCCTATCCCTTGGGATGACATAACCATATAAGCCAAATTTCCTCATGTAAGAAGAAGTCCAGGCAGCGACATTGCACCTGGCAGCAGGGAAGTCCACAATCCACTTGAGTAGGGAAAAGGTAACAAACACCTGAGTGGTAAAGGGTGAAGGAATGAGAAGCAGGAAGAGGAGGGCGTGAGTATACAAAGCTTTATTATTCACCTAAGGAGGCATTTTGGGGGAGGAAAGAGTATTTTAAGTTGATTCCTAAATGGCTGGACATTTCAGGGAGAGGTCTCTGACCTGGACTTTGTGGTGGTCAGGGAGTGGGAGTTGGGGGAGGGTCTCTGTATAGGAATAGGTTGTGGGATGGTTTGAACTTTCCTCTGGTGTCAAAAATGAGAAGTAGCGGGGCCTCTCTGATGGTACAAGTTGTTAAATCACAGCACTCTGAAGCTATTTGCAGCCAAAGAATTCAATCCCTGGCCAGGGAGGTGACCCATATGGCACAGAAGAACTCTTCTGTCTCACCTGATACTCCCCTCAGCAGTGTATTTCAGTCAGTTCTCCTGTTCTGCTCCCACTCTGTCTCTGGGGAATCCTCTCACCTCCAGCACCTCTGACCTGTACCCCAGTTCTTATATGCATTGATAAATAAATCTAAAAAAAAAAAAAAGTACTTAGGCTTCTTAGAGGCTTGCCTAAACATGGGATATGGTGGAGCTTGAAAGTTGGCAGCAGTCAAACATCAGAAATGAAATCAGGCCCTTTGTTATAGGCCCTTTGAATTCTAGAACCTCCTTCGTGAAACTCTCCCAACTCACTCCCTGATTTTTGTTTCTTCTATCTTTACTCAGTTCCTTTTTCTAGCTCCTTTTCTATCAATTTTTTCAACATCGGTATTTTCTGAGCTTACTTTTCTTTCTTGCTCTATATACTGGTCAGGGATGAAATTCATTCACAAACACACCCCACCCACCAGCCTTGACTACTATGTGCTGATGATTCCAAAAGCCACACCTGCCATTAGAGGACCATTTAGGGACAAATGCCTATGGATATAGCCACTTGGATATCCTGCCTGCATCTCAGACTTTTACCGCACAATACTATTGTATTTGTTTTCAGATCTACATATT